TTAGCAGAAGTGGCTTCTTGTGCATTTTCCTTCCTTGCATACTCATAAAAATGGAGCTGCTGCTGCCAGAGAGTAGGTAGGTGGTGGCACAGTGGAGCAGGTCCCAGAGAATGTGCTCGGCAATGCCTTCAGTCTTTTTAATCACTTTCCTTCCTTCACTCACCAGGAAATATGTCGCCTCTGCTCCCCACCCCTAAACATCATCACATCTTTTTGAACCAGTTAGTCATTATGGAAGATATCTTGAAAGAACCCAGTTGCTGCCATCCGTTTATGCTTTACTGAGGAGCAGCTCACCCAAATGCAGCATCTAGGCACAGTCTTCGTGCTGTCTCAGCATCCTGGTTGGTGATGGAAGCATGAAAGCTCATTAGAATTTAAGAGATTTTAAAAAAGTTTAGTTGAACAATAGAAATGGGACAGATTTTAATCAGGAATGCCGTATTTTAATCTCTCCTTGCTTCAATAAGAGAATAGTTCTCTTACAAGGGACAGGGAAATCCATAAATTCTGCCTGGTAAATGGTGGGAATTTTGTAGTCATAGCTTTTGCCCTAGTGTTTTCCTTCCTCTTTTGTCTGCATGTCTCTCAGGGCACCGGGAATGCTTTGCTTTATATATAACAATAGACACTTCACGTTTGCCAGGGATCTGTCCAGAGATCTTGGTGAATACCCAGCTTTTCTTGGATTCTCAGAGCACCAGGCTTCGTTGCCAGGAGGTCACGTGAGCTTAATTGCTAGCGGTGTGATTCCAGCACGCCCAGTGCAGATTCGTGCTGTAGCGAAGTGGTTCCCTCTCATGGATCCTCATGGGCGTTTGTAACCATCAGGAGGAACCTTCAAATGGTTAGGTGAGGTTTCTGGGAAGGGTTTTAAGGGTGCACACATGCCTCTTCCTGAGACTGCAAGCTTCCGGCAGTAATGACCTTGGCCCTACATCTTTGCATCCTTTGCAGCCAGCACAGGTTGTAGCTGAGGGAGGAAAGGAAAACTGTCTGTGGGTCTAATCATGTCCTGTCTGTTGAGCTGTGTTATAATAAGATGATTCCCTCATTTCTTTATGTTTTCATTTTCTGCATGAAAGCTTTATTTTCAAATAAAGGAGCATATTGGGGCAGGTAATCAGTTATGTCACTTCTGTTAACTCTCTACTTTTTAAATGCTTGAGGTTTAGCACTTTGAAAAAAAATCATTCTGTTTGAGAGTCTTGAAAAGTAATCTTCTTGCCATCATTCCTTGCTAAGAAAGCTGCATTTCCTGGTGATTTAGTGAAAACTTTTGTCAGGTACACATGAAAGTAGCCTCTCACGTGGGCCTGCGCCCTCACGCTGCCCATGAGGCAACCTCCGAGGCCGGGCTTCAGCCCCGTTGCTGGAGGACCAGCTTCCACCACCTGTTCTGGCTCCTTGCCACCTCTGAATCCCAGCACAAACCAGGTTGGTAATTGCTGGACTGTACAGGGAATCAGGATAGGTGGGAATGGGGGTTTAATCAAAAGAAACATTGAGAGAGTTACAGGGGTTGACAGGAGCTCAGTAAACACTCCAGAGGGTCACGCATCCATGTGAAAATGTACAAAGAGGTAAAAATGCCTGCATTTTAGCTCCTTCCAAGACTTCCTTCTTAGCCCTTGAGTCAGAACATATCAGCTTGCGATGAACTAACTTACTCAAATTAGCTCAAGAAAGAGACCTGTGAGAAGAATGTTACCTGCTTCCAGGAGAGCTGAGCAAGCAGGCCTGGGGGAAGGCAGGTCTTCGGACCTCAGCAGTGGGTGTGGGGTCTGCACGCTGCACACTCCTTCCGGCTCTGAGTGTTGGGAAGGCAGATGGTTCCTTCAGTGCCCAGGCTGGACCCAGCCAGCTGTGTCCTGAGGGCGTGAGGCTGCCCCGTTCTGGGCTGTGAGATACAGACATTCAGGCAAGCCAGCCACTGTCCACTGCTGCTCCCGGACACCAACAGTTCACCTCCCCCATCCCTGTAACCTAAAGGCAAGTCGTGATCAAAGGGGATCTTTCCAGTTATCTTTCGAGATCTAAAACTTTCCCCAAAATGACATTCTTCTTATCTTTATTCCATTAAGAACGTGGCCGATATGAGTTTAATTTGGATCTCTTATTCCCATGACTGACAGTTTTCAATCTAGGAAGAGTTGGATTAGAAGTGGAACAGACTTCGAATGAATTATTTAGCAAAAGATCTCTTATAGCCATTGTACGTTCAATAACTCAAAAGCATTTCTCTGACACTTCAAGGCCCTATGCTAGGTGTTTTGAGGAAAAATACTAATAACTAATATTGAGTTATTGTTACATGTCAGTGATTGTGCTAAATGATTTTACGTGCATGAGCTAATTTTAATTCTTTAGCATATCTTTGCGCTAGCTGCTGCTCCTATCCCTATATTCAGAGCAGAAAATTAAGACTTAGGAAGTTTTAGCAACATTTCAAAAACCAAAAGATTATTGGAGACTTCCCTGGTGGCGCAGTGGTTAAGAATCCACTTGCTAATGCAGGGGACACGGGTTCAAGCTCTGGTCCGGAGAGTTCTCACATGCCGCAGATCAACTAAGCCCGTGCGCCACAACTACTGAGCCTGTGCTCTAGAGCCCATGTGCCACAACTGCTGAGCCCGCGTGTCACAATTACTGAAGCCCGTGTGCCTAGAGCCTGTGCTCCACAAGAGAAGCCACCGCAGTGAGAAGCCTGCGCACCGCAACGAAGAGTAGCCCCCGCTCACCGCAAGTAGAGAAAGCCCGCGCGCAGCAACGAAAACCCAACACAGCCAAAAATAAATAAACAAATAAATAAAGCTACTCAAAAAAATTTAAAAAAAAAGATTATTGGAGTTAATGTAAGTATGAAATACATGGAAAAAAAGTGGTGGGAAACAAGTTGGACAGGTAGGTAGGGGGATAAATCATGACCTGAGTGCCATGCTGAAGACGTGTGGGTTGATCTGTTGGTAACGAAGACCCAGTGAGTTTCTGGGATCCTAGGGGCGATGTCAGAACTATTCTTCGGAAAAGCTTCTCTGGCTATAATTGTGGAGTGGGAGAGACTGATGGAACTGAGGAGGCCTCTGGTAGAGGTGCCGAGAGAAGCCGAGGACAGCCAGGACTGGGGTAGTTGCTGTGGCCATGAATGGAGCAGAGAATGCTGTGGTTTTCTTTTCAGCTTCCTTTTATGTTCCCTCTCTGGGGCTTGATTTTAAAAGTCTAGCTTTTAAACATCCTAGCATAGACTCCTGCTGGATTTGGAGTTGCCTTCAATTTCAGCAGGAAAAAAAAAAAAAGAATAAAACAAACAAAACTCCATTTTGGAAAACTTTGTCCACCAAATTACCTGTATTGTGAGGAAACGGTGATTGAGGAGCCAGGCGTTCATCTGGCTGCAGCGTTTTCATCAGGTTAAGGGTGGCCAGAAAGCGACCCACACGCACACCCACGTTCCTGCACGACTACTCCCCTGTCAGCGTGTAGGACACAGACACTTATGAGAGGTGTGTTTGCCCCTCAGGAGGGGGCTCATTTGGTGGCTGTCACCACTGCTTTTCCGTGGCCCTGGGTTTCCTAGCAGGACACGCCGCTCCTGGTTTTACTGTCCACACAGGTGTGGTTACGTGGGACCTGAGAAAACAGCCTAATTTTTACGTGCCTCTCATTCTTGAGGCTCGTATTTTATCCCCAAAGAACTTCTGGGTGATCCTGTTTGAAGGAATGTTGTAAGTATTGGGTTTTCCTGGGTTGAACCAAACTCAGCATCTGTGGGGTTCTCCACTTCACCCAGAGGAAGAGGGTGGACTCAGTGTCTTCAGCTCGTGGGCGCTGTGGGAAGGGTAGGTCCCTGCCCTAGACCTATGCTATCTGTGCTTTCATTTAGCAAGTGTGAATTAAGTAGTGTGTGCACCAGGCCCTGTGCTGCACATGGAGGATGCAGGGATGAAGAAGGCACAGCTGCTCTGGGGCAGAAGCTGCCAGGATAGTTTGGGCATAGAGGCAAGCAAGTAAACATACCAGCACAAAACATGCCAAAGATGCGTCTCAGTATTTGGTAAGTCTTTTGATGTTTAAACTCCTGAAAGGAATACTTTTTTTTTTTTTGAAAGAGAAGAAAGAAAATTAAAGATGAAAGAGAAAAGATTGAGTTTGAAAGTGTAATAACCCTTGGAAATTAAGAAAAAATTCCATAAGCCTACAGAATAATAAAAGAAATAATAAAACAAAATAGTAATACATATATGAATAATAGTCATAATATGAGTTTTTCAGTTTACCTAAGAACTAGGGATATTTCTGTGTTAGACTGGGAACTTCAGCTTTTTGTGAAGTTGGAACCTACCTGAAAGCTTTATCTCTTATTCCCCTCTGGTTCCTAGTAAAAAAAAAAAGCTTCTTATGATGCTTCAGAGGAATTCCTGCTGTCTTAGGGTGGCAAAGGAGTTGATCGAGCCAGGGCTGTTCTCTGGGTCCTGAAACTACAGGAGGGTGTGGAAGGTGATGCACTCCCGGACATGGGGCTGGACTTCTGAGAAGAGCTCGACCCTAGCAGGGACTCTGGTGGTCAGCCAGGGTGTGGGGAAGGGTGGGGAATGTGGGATCTGGGGACTCTGTGCTGACGTTCTTGTAATTATCTATAATTCTAAGCCTTCTTGTGCCGCTAGTAACTACCTTGTTCATGGGTGATGCCGTGAAAGTCTCCTTATTTTACATCGTTGAGATCAGAAGTAACACAGCATCAAAGAAGAGTAACATACATCAATTTTCCTGATACTAATATGAATTGAAAATACTGTATCTAAGGAAGAACTGTACTAATGGGATTGTATATAGGGAGAAAGGTGAGATGAGAAGCAAGGGGATGCTTCCTCTGTTTCTGTACCATTTTATTTTACTTTTTTTGCATTCTATTATATAAGCATTTTCTGTTCTCTTAAGGATGAGCTAGCTAAAGATTCGGAAACTTATCCTGATAAATAATGGGCACTCTCCTCTTTCAGCAGATTTCTGCACATGGCCGATCTTCTTCCAATGTAAATGGCGGGCCTGAACTTGATCGTTGCATGAGTCCTGAAGGTAGTTCTCAGCCTATGATTACTTTTTTTTTTTTAAATTATTTATTTATTATTTTTGACTGTGTTGGGTCTTCGCTTCTGTGCGAGGGCTTTCTCTAGTTGCGGCGAGCGGGGACCCCTCTTCATCGCAGTGTGTGCACCTCTCACTATCGCAGCCTCTCTTGTTGCAGAGCACAGGCTCCAGACGCGCAGGCTCAGTAGTTGTGGTTCACGGGCCTAGTTGCTCCGCGGCATGTGGGATCTTCCCAGACCAGGGCTTGAACCCGTGTCCCCTGCATTGGCAGGCAGATTCTCAACCACTGCGCCACCAGGGAAGCCCTATGATTACTTTTGTAAGGGAAGCCATCCATGTGAACTTGGTCGCCCCCCAAACCCACTTGTGCTAAATTATCTCCCTAAACAGCAATGGGATCATGACACCAGTTAGCCTGTTTAGCCTTATTGGGCAGGGGTCACATCAAAATGTATAGAATCTCGTTAATTAAGCTACCCAATTTCAGATTTTAGTCTTGGGTTTCCTTTATTTTTCCTTAGTGGCAATTGGCTCACAGTTCCTAAATGTAGACTTGCCTTGTTCTTAGATATCTTTAAGTGGGTTTCTTTGTTTGATGTCAGCTATGTACAGGGCACTGGGGATACATTGTGAAAAGTGGTCAATCTTAACCACCTCCTTCTCCTGCCCCTCCCCCCTCTCCTTTTTGAGGACACTTTGAGCCAGAAATTAGCCTTAACAAGGTATCCTAAGTGGCCAGAATTTTCTTTACTAGAAAATCTTGAAGAGAAAATTTCTAAGATTAAGTCCCCATCATCATCCCCTCCCCCTTTCTCCAGAGTTGACAAAAAGTTTACAGAGTTTTGGTTAGACTTCCCTTTCACCCAAAGCTAATCACTTATTTTCAGCTGATATTTCAGGGGTTTGTCAGGTTTATTGATTTTGTTGGTTTCTGATTCCAACCAACAAGGCCAAAAGGAAATGGGTGGTTCAGGTGTTCTATTCAGAGAATACGCTCAGAGGATTTTCTTTAGTTTTACCACAGATTTAGAAATAACTCCATTGTGATTTATTATTTCACCCGTCTGTAGGAATCGAGGTGAAATGTGATGTGTTCACTAGACTTTGTGTTTATCCTTTTTTGCAGGTGTGAATGGAAACAGGTGCTCTGAATCGTCACCTCTTCTTGAGAAGTACAAAATCGGGAAGGTTATTGGTGATGGCAACTTTGCAGTAGTCAAAGAGTGCATGGACAGGTGAGCAGGTAGTGAGGATAATGGTTTGTTCACCGACGCATACGTTTCTCCTTTGGAGTTTATTCTTATCTGAATGAACGAAAGGCCTTCTTAAAGAGTCTACTCTTAGGGCTAGTGTTTTGCATGCCCACAGGCAACTTGACAGGGGAAAATGTATGTATACATGTAGAATATAAAACTGCTTTGTACTTTGGGAGATATATCAGGTCTCATCCATGAGCCAGAGAAAAATGGGAAAGAGTACGATTCATTTAAAAAAAAAAAAAAAAATCTCCTATAGTGCTTATCTCTGCCAGGCTCTGTTCTCAGTGCTGTACTTATATTAAGTCATTAACCCTCTCAGCTAATAATTAATTGCATATTATCAGTAGTTCAGGATACATGATTTCTGACTTTATTCAATATCAGAATCAGCCAACTTTTGCTCATATTAAAATTATATTTTTGCTTGTCCAGCCTTATTTTGTTTAAGGTCCTATTTTCTCAGATGGTAACAAATCCATTCTTTTACATTCCAGGCCTTTTGTAAACAATATTAAAACTGGAAAAGACTCAGATTAGAGTCTTTGTGTTTATAGCCTGTTATTCTAGCTGTTCTAAGTGGTAATTTTTGTTGTGGTGGTGGGAGATGGGTGAGGGGGAGTTTTCCAGAAAGTTCTGGTGACTACAGTTTTCCTGTTCTGCTACATCTCCAGTGAAGCTTTACTGCTCCTTATATGGTACACAAAGTAGCTCCCTGTCTTCTAAGCCCCTCTGCTTAGCTCTGGTACACAGATTGCTGCTCAAGCAACAAGCATCTAAAATATGACATCTGAAGACTCATTAGAAATCTGAGGCAGTGTTTGGTTTCCATTATGGAGAAGCAGTTTAAATAAAAGTTATTCTTCCAAGGTCGGTCTCATCAGTGTGTACCGTGACCACCTGGCAAAAGCAGCTTGTGCTTGAGAGAGCTAACCTATTCCAAGAATACCACAGTGTTCTTTCTTGAACTGCTCTCCTATTCTAAAAGATGTATTTTTGACATGTTCAGATTAAATTATACTAAAGGTGATTAAAAGTTAAATAACAACATCAGGACTCTTGTGTCAAATGAATGACATCTCTAGTACCAGATATGGACGTTTAAAGGTGTGGATAAGGTGGCACCGGATCCTAAGTGGAGTTTTGGATGAGAAATAGAAACTGAAAGTCTAGGGACTTTTCAGTTTTGAATTATGGGCTAATTAGTGACTAATGGACTCATGTAAAGACATTGATAAAAGAAAATTTTCTGTTACTTTGATTCATTTTTCTTAATTTTATTCTGTCTCTTAAGAGAACTATTTTTGAGATTTAAGTATGGAAGAACAGCTTCTTGTCCAAGTCTGATACAACAAAATTTAAATACTTTAAATATGTGAGTTACTTAATATTGTAATGATTAATACTTATAAAAGGAGATTGACAGTGTGGCTTTGTGGGTTTTAAAAAAATCTTTTGTGGGTATTTTTCTCCCTGACCCCACTCAGCATCCTCTCTGGTGTATAGAGAAGGAAGCCACTCTTTTTTCCCTGGGTCTGTGCTGTAGAGGAAATCAGGATGGATGGTGTCTTTGATTTATGTCTTTAAATGGCCTTCCTCTGATTATTCCATAGGTCCACAGGAAAGGAGTTTGCCCTAAAGATTATAGACAAAGCCAAATGTTGTGGAAAGGTACAGTATACATAACTGTTTTGTAAAAGAAACTGAAAAAACTTAGAGATGTTTACTGCGGTGAAGGAATTTAAGTGGTGATTTGACAAGATCATAATAGGAATAGTCTGCTGATAGTAGCGGGGGAAACCTTATCAAGCTTTTTTTCCCCTGCCATTTTTCAGAAACCTTAATCCTAAAACAGTAAATTGATTTGATCTCTGTCCTAACCATTGAAAAATACAAGTTCTTCTCTCTGGGAGATGTCTATATCAAAACCCAGCAACACACAAAAGGTGCCTCAAGAACTGTGAGGGTTCTGAGACTTTTCAAACTAAGAAATTAGCCTTCCAGCTTTGTAGATGTGGCAGAAGACACAAGATTCCTGGGTCAGAGGCAAAAACTACTACTGGTGCCACAGCAGCTAGCATGAGCTCCATGCTTGCACTGGTTCCCAAAGCCCACAGAAGTGATGCAGAGGGGCCCAGCTGGATGCTGTCCACACAGTGGGTTTGTGTCACAGTGGAGGACCCCCAAGCTTAGGAACCCCCCCAATCTTATGAGGCGGCCACTAGCATCCTACCCAGCCTCTGCCCCAGAGGAGAGCATTATTTTTATTATCATGGTCAGGAAACAAATCGCCGTCCACCCCTGGGGGAGACCCTGTCTCTGTGTTCCAAGGGTGTTTGCTATACAGACATACTTGGAAAGATAGTTTGTAACTAAAGATGATGTGGGATGTGCAGAAACACCATGGATTGTCTCCCCAAATGGATGAACTTTTTTCTCTGTCCTACTCTGAAGATGGGACTGGGAAAAAAAATCAAATGATAGAATGCTGCTAGATTACTGCCATTTCAACTATATTTGAAAGGATAAATATTCTACAATAGTGATGACAAAGACCTTTTTAGATTCCTTTCTGGCAAGTAGCATAGCAGTTAAGAGAGCAAGCTCTAGGGCCTTCCCTAGAAGGTGGCGCAGTGGTTAAGAATCCACCTGCCAATGCAGGGGACACGGGTTCGAGCCCTAGTCTGGGAAAATCCCACATGCTGTGGAGCAACTAAGCCTGTGCGCCACAACTACTGAGCCGGCACTCTAGAGCCCGCGAGCCACAACTACTGAAGCCTGTGTGCCTAGATCCCATGCTCCGCAACAAGAGAAGCCCCCGCAATGAGAAGCCCGTGCACCGCAATGAAGAGTAGCCCCTGCTCGCCGCAACTAAAGAAAGCCCACGCACAGCAACGAAGACCCAACACAGCCGAAAATAAATAAATTAATTAATTAATTGAAAAAAAGAGAGAGAAGGCTCTAGATCTCATGGTCCAACTCTGAGTTCCTCGCGCTTGTGGTGCTGAGCACTTGAAGTATGGCCAGTCTGAACTGAAATGTACTCTCAGTGTAAAACACAACAGATTTTGAAGACTTAATGCAGAAAGAAGAATGTAAGATACTTCATTAATATCTTTTGTATTTGATTACATGTTGAAATGATAATATCTTGGATATATGGGGTTAAATGAGTTATACATTTTACCTACTTTTTATATTTTTTAACATGGCTACTAGAAAACTTAAATTTACATGTGTGGATCACATTTCTATTGAACAGTATTACTCTAGAGCCAGATTGTGTAAAGTTTAATTCTGGCTCTGCCTCTTTTTGCTGTATGACCTTGGAAAAATTAGTTAACCCCTCTGTGCCTCTGTTTCTTCCTATAAAATGCAGTTGTTAATAATATCGAAGGCATAGCTTATTGTGAATTAATTGAATTAAGGCATAGAAAACATGTAGAAAAGTACCAGTATATAACAAGAATTTAACACGTGTTAACTGTCAACATTATTAAGTTATAGCTAGGAGGATTTGATGTGATAGTAGTGGTTTTATATTTATGGACCTCCTAAAACTATTCTTCATCAGACATTTACAAAATTGTGTATTTTTAACAGGAAACTTAAAATATTATGATACAGTGCTAGAAGAGTCTTCTCAGAGACCCAGAATGGAAAATCCAATAGACAAATTTGTCATACACTTTTTTTTTTTTTTTTTACTACATTGTGACAGCTAATGAAGCAGAGTCTGTGCAAAATGCCCCCCTTTTCTTTGAATAAGGTTTTTCTAAATGTAATTTTCTTTAACTAATTCTGTGTGTTTTCAGTTATTGTGCTAACAATTTTATTACATTTTCAGCTGCAAAGCCTGTCTCCATATGTAAGTAGGTGTTGCTCTTTGTATCTGATATTGTGTGATTTAAGCAGAATGTGTCATAATTTGGGGAGCCAAGTTCTAAACAACTGTATTAAAGTATTTTTTCAAAAAAGTTTAAAAATAATTGCTCTGGTAAGGATATTGTTTACGTGATTAAAATTTAAGCAGCTGTCTCAGTAGTTGAAAAAAAAATCTTTATGCAAAAAAATTCAGTCTGGTACACTAAGTGTTGAGGCAAATGAATAGGTCACTTCAAACATTTGGATCTTATTTTTCTTTGTTATTGAATGTCATTTTATTTTTATAATTCATGATCATATACTTATTTCCATCCTTATATTTTGCTTATTTGAACAATTATTTCCACATTGACTATATAAAATTATAATGTTAAAACTTTAAAAAAAAAACTGAAGAATAGTTGACTTACAATATTGTGTTAGTTTCAGTTGTACAGCAAAGTGGTTCAGTAATTTTTTCAGATTATATTTCATTATAGGTTATTATAGGATATTGAATATAATTCCCTGTGCTATACAGTAAATCCTTGTTACTTATCTATTTTATGTAAAGTAGTTTGTATCTGTTAATCCCATACTTGTTTTGTTCTAAATAGGTAGATTTTTCCACTAAAGCTTATATTTAGGAAAAAAATTGATATAGAGAATTTGCTTTTTTTTGGCAGCAGGGGCCACTCTTCATCGCAGTGCGCGGGCCTCTCACTGTTGCGGCCTCTCGTTGCAGAGCACAGGCTCCAGATGCGCAGGCTCAGTAGTTGTGGCTCACGGGCCCAGTTGCTCCGCGGCATGTGGGATCTTCCCAGGCCAGGGTTCGAACGCGTGTCCCCTGCATTGGCAGGCAGATTCTCAACCACTGTGCCACCAGGGAAGCCCAGAATTTGCTTTTTTAAAACAAAATCTAAGGGGAGGTATTCAGCCACTCTTCGGGGGCATCGTTCATTACCTCTGCCTTGTGGGTTGTATACAGAAAAGTAATAATGATGAAAATAATATCAGCCATTTATCAAAATGTATTATCTATCCAAAATGTATTATCTATCCATTTATCAAAATGTATTATCTATCCAGGCTTGGACATATAGACATTTTGCACATTATCTTTAATGACTTGCAACACAGATGTACTGATTTTACAGATAAAGAAACAGAAATTCAAATTAAATAGCTTCCCAAAAGTCACACAGAAGCAGAGCAGTGATTGGACCTTTGGGCTAGTTGGTTGCACAGCCAGTCTACACTGGCCAATCTACCATGATCCCCTCTCCAAGTTCAACTTATGCATTTGTTCCTATAATAAGAACCTGGGAAAAATTCTTAACCTCTGGTTTTCTGTTTGCTTTTCTGTAATGTACAAGATTAATTCACTTGTTTACCTAACATTTGATGTTTGTGCAAGATACTGTGCTAGGAATAAGGTAATTTAACAATACCAGTTCCGTAAAAGTGTTATGGGAGTTCAGGGTAGCACATGAGAGAGAAGTAGGTGCTCAGTGGAGATGCCTTAGAGCAAGAAGCATTCGAGCTGGATTTGAGCAGTAGGTACGGCTTGAGTAGGCAGTAATGACAGAAAAGCTTTTGAGGCGGCCAGCGCAGCCTGAGTAGAGGCCCAGAAGATGGAAAGCATGTTGGGTTCTTCCAAGTAGGAAGTTTTCTTTTTCTTTTAAAAAAATATTTATTTATTTATTATTTATTTATTTTTGCTGTGCTGAGTCTTCATTGCAGCACACGGGATCTTCATTGCAGCATGCGGACTCTTAGTTGCAGCATACAAACTCTTAGTTGTGGCATGCATGCAGGATCTAGTTCCCTGACCAGGGTTCGAACCTGGGCCCCCTGCCCTGGGAGTGTGGGCCACTGGACCACCAGGAAAGTCCCTCAGTAGGAGATTTTCTTAAATTGATTTATAATGTTGTGTTAGTTTCTGGTTTACAGCAAAGAGACTCAATTATACATACGTATTTTTTTTCATATTCTTTTTCATTATAGGTTATTACAAGATATTGAATATACAGTAGTTCCCTGTGCTATATAGTAGGACCTGGTTGTTTATCTACTGGTTTGGCCAAAAAGTTCATTCGGTTACTGAATCTGTTGTTCAGTAAAGTTCTTCGTGAAAATGAAAAATGTGTCTTTTATTTTTACTTTAAACCAAACAAACTTTCTGGCCAACCCAGTATTTTATATGTAGTAGCTTGTATCTGTTAATCCCAAACTCCTAATTTATCCCTCTACCACCCCCTTTCCCCTTTGGTAACCATAAGTTTGTTTTCTATATCTGCGAGTCTGTTTCTGTTTTGTAGATACGTTCATTTGTGTCATATTTTAGATTCCACATATAAGTGATATCATATGGTATTTGTCTTTTTCTGTCTGACTTACTTCACTTAGTATGATAATTTCTAGGTCCATCCATGTTGCTGCAAATGGCATTATTTCATTCTTTTTACGGCTGAGTAATATTCCCTTGTATATATGTACCACATTTTCTTTATCCATTCATTTTTTGATGGACGTTTAGGTTGCTTCCATGTCTTGGCTATAGTATATAGTGCTGCTATGAACACTGGGCTGCATTATCTTTTCAAATTAGAGTTTTCTCTGGATATATGCCCAGGAGTAGGATTGCTGGATCATACGGTAACTCTATTTTTAGTTTTTTAAGGAACCTCCATACTGTTCTCCGTAGTAGCTGCACCAATTTAAATTCCCACCAACAGTGTATGAGGGTTCCCTTTTCTTGACACCCTCTCCAGCATTTATTATTTGTAGACTTTTTAATGATGGCC